CACCAAGGATATTGATTATACAACATTACCAACCCCCCGCCACCAAACTAGATTGGCAGATTTCCGGGCTGCACTTATATTTTGTCGCCAAACTTTGATTAATCGGCTTAGCGGTTTTTTAGTTATCATATACTAACAGACAGACAGACAGAAAATAAAAAAAAAAAAAAACTATTTTTTGAGCGGGAAATTACAAACACTTTTTTGCCGATTGTCTTAATAGCCTTACCATACCTGTTGGTATTTTTTTTTTTATTTTTTCATATATAATTTTACATCTAACATGACAGCGATCTTATTTTATATCCATTCATCCAATCGCACTGACGCCGTTCTTTCATCACATTGAGAGAGGCCAAGAATATTTATTTGGGAGCTGCATAAAAACACAAGTTCGTCTTTTTTGTCGACATGGTTAATAGTCGGTAATATTAATGTTTTACAAAATATTACGTTGAAAATTATACCCCGTTTCTTAAGCACAGTTATAGGTGAAGTTTTTTTCTTGGTAAATACGTTTCTTATCGTTATGCACTTTTATGCCCATGATGATTGTTTTTTGATTGCTTAGATTTTGATTGTTTTTATTGCATTTTAGATCGCATTGTGATCCGATCAATACCTCCGATTCTTTTTTTTACGGCTCATCGTTTAAATTTTATGGATCCGTGATGGCCACGTTTCAATTGAACGAACCGTAGTGTAAGCAATGAATCAATTCTCACAGCTCTTGCTTTGAACGCACGATACGCAGTTGTGATCGATTCATTCTCACGATTTTTTTCGGTCATTCGTTCAAATGTTAGTGGCCGATTTTTGAAAAAACCGGATTGCAAGTAATGATCGAATCTCACGATTCCGTTTTAATACTCGTTCAAACGAACGACTCGTTCAATCTTTGCCCACCTCTAAGTGGCAACAAGATAATTGATGATTCTGTCGATATGGACAGACGTTTTTGTTGATAATTAAAAAGTTATTGAGTGTGACTATTAATTATTGAATACATATTTATTAAGCGATACCATTTACTTATTTTCTCTGATATTCTTGCTTTTTATCTTTGGTACACGACCCAAGAACGCGTGTATGCTGCCGGAAATGGATTCTCCCAATTTCTGTAATCTTTCCTTATAGTTACTACAGTAGGATTAGCTCTGTAATGATCCCAATTGGATTGAATCAAATAATAGCCGGAAGCGAATGCACTAGCCACCGCAATTATCCAAAATAACCTAAGATAAAGAGGTATTTTTTACCTCAATTCTGGTTTTTACATTTATATAGATTTTGGAAACAACCAATATTCTTGGAATAGTATATTACCATACCCAGGCAGGGAAGGTTTCATTACTGTGAGAGATTAATAAAAACCTCGAGACGATATGAAAAAAACTTTCCTCCGGTTTGTTACTATTTTATTTAAACCAAAAAAAAAAAAAAAAAAAAAAAAAGTATTTTATTTTTTGAAAAATAAATATGCGAAAATTTGTCCTTTTTCTGTTTTGGCTTAAATCCATATCATTAATAAGTTACACAACAAAGGTACCAGATAGCGTTGATAATATGGCGAGCAAACAAATATCAAACAGCACATAAACAACTAAAAAAAAAAGAAAAAAAAAAAAAGTAACACACGTTTTGATACTTTCTACGTTACCGCTTTTTTCAGATATAAAATAAAATACAAAATAGAAAAAAACATATTATTTTAACAAAGAACAATTGATTTGAAGTACCTACTTTATATTAGGTACTCACAGAGTTCTTACAGAAGCTGTAAAAAGAGCAGAAGCTAGTTTACCTCCAGAGAAAAGTAGGGGGGCGATATGAAATAGAATTGAAAGTATACGAAATTGGATGTGCAAAGGAATGAGAAATATTGCAACTTCGGAGACGTGCTTGAATCTCTACTCCTTATT